TTCAGGTCAAATATCATAGCGTATGTCTAGTAACTATTGTTCCCATAATAAGGTAACTAAATTTTAACTGAAGTACATTATATATAAATATGTATATTTTACCTTCATAACATGGTCGCATAGTGAAGTAAGGGAAAGTCCTAACAAGCTTTTTTCTACATTTTGAGCAAAGCATGGTAGGAAGATCTAAATTATTAGCTGAATAATTTTTCCAGAATATTATTTTGATAAGGTTTAAATAGTCTTTTTTTATTTATCTAGATTTACATATGTTTTTTCGTCATTATTTAGAGGTCTTAAATTCATGCGTTTCCTGAAGCAGGTAATGCAAAACATTTTAACAAAATTAATGTGTTCTTTCACATGGTTAGGCATTTTAAAGGAATGCTTCAAATAAAAACTTATGATGTGCATTTTTAATATTGACATGATATATCGGCCCCATTAATAAAATTTTAATTTAATGAACAAAAGCATGTTTACAGTTCAAAATTCAACGCATGAAAGGAATTATTTTTTTAATTATTAACAATTAGCGACGGCTTGTTGTCGCTGATTGTTAATAATTTGTTAACATTTGAAATAAATAATTTGTTAACATTTGAATTAAATAATTTGTTAACATTTGAAGTAAATGTAATCACTAAATTCTAATAATAACTGAAATTAATAAAAGTAATTAATTAATTAAGTAAGTAATTAATAAAATTAATTGTTCAGCAATTTCACTTTTGAAACTCAAAATAAATGCTCGCGGGCATGTTTTTTTAATGCTATTTTGTGGTGTTAAAAAAGATCTTCAATCCCAAACCACCCCCACCCCTAGGGTATGGTTCCTTAAACAAATTTTTCAAATCTTTTTTTGTGTTTTAATAAATTAAAATTTATCGACAAATTTCAAATTTCATCAAAAAATATTTCTAGTTTAAAAGTTAGGACCATTCAAAGTTATTTCAGGGGGTAAATTTGTGAAATTTGAAACCTCTTATGGTCAAAAATTTTAAGCGAAACGAGATTTTTTGTTGAAACTTGAAATCTGTCGATAGATTTTGGTCTAATTTATGATAGATTTAAAAAAAAAATCTTTATTATCTTAGGAGACAGTTCTAGGAGGGGGCAATCAGGGGTTGGGACAGGGTTGGGTTAGCTCCAATTACCTAACCTCTTTGCAAGTCATCCTCATTTGATATCAGTATACATACTCAAAATTTGAGTATGCCACATAGCTCTTAGTTACCTATCTTGAACAACAAAATTACTAGGCACTCACATGATTTCTCCCTAGTCCTTGGTGAAAAAAGTTGTTTTTTGCATTTTTGAAATAAGAAAGAGTTTTCTGATAATAAACAAAAAAAAATTTCTGGAGATGTGTTGCAAGGTCTCAGAGCATGTTCCTATGCACAGTGAGATAAAAGAACATGGATGTAGATGTTTGTATAAGTGAAAGTATACTGTTCCAACCATAAGACCATTTATAATATATTTAAAAACACAAATAACATTTTTGACAGAGAACTTCTGCTGGTCAATATTTTTGAAAATCACACATAAAACCAACTATTCTTTTACAGAAAACAAACTTAATTGGCTACCAGAAGAAAAATCATCATCTGAAAAAGATACTTTTTTTAAATTAAACTGGACATCAAACTAAAAACATGAATAAAATTTTTTTCTTTTTTTTTTTGTTGAGATTTGTGTCTTTGATAACATAATTTGTTTTTGATGCCATTAAACGTTATTTACTTATGTTTTTATTGGATGAAGAGACGTTTTCCAGCATTGCACAGTGACTCAAAACAACAAAAAAAAATGGCAGTAAACCCCTCACCACTTTTTTCACTGATTTTTTTATTTAAAAAGTAAAAATAATTTTTTCATGAACTTTTTATTTTATATTTTATAGGTAAAAGAAGTGAAAAAATTTGATATTATTTTTAAAAAAATCTGAAAAATGTGAGGTTTTTATTCAACTAAATTAGAAAAGTTGAAATTTAAATAAAAGTGTATATTTATTTTTAAAATAATTTTTTGACTCTATATATTTCAAATATATACTAAAAAGAAAAAAAAAAAGCCTGATTTTTCCGTTTAAATTTAAAGACTTCTCTAAAAAATAGTTAAAAATAAAAGCATATGTTTTTGCTTTTTTTGTTTTTCACCAAAAAAAATGTTCCACCGAGTTCCACAAATATATATATATATATTTTCCAGTTAACTAACATTTTTTAATTTAGGAATATAAAAATTGGCGGGAAATTTGAATTTAAGTTTTTCACTTGTAGAACTTGTTTTAGTATAGATATATTTTTACTTGTAGAATTGTTCAAATATTTTTAAATCATAAATATTAAATATAGTTTTAAAAAATGTGCTCTTGTCATTATATACTACTTAGAAGTTTGTTAAAATATTTATTGACAATTCTAACTAGCAATTTATTATTCGATAAGTACAAGATGTTTAAAAAAGCTTAACTGAACAACTTTAGTATTTCCTGTAATATAAAGTTAACTAAGTAAAATAGTGTTATTACAGGATGCAACAATGTGAAAATTGATAAAAGTCATAACAAAATAAAATTTGAAACAGTATAAAGTAAAAAAATATGTAATGTAATTTAAAATATTTCTGATATACTAGTTTTATTATATTGATGGTTCTTAAAAACGATAACAATGAAAAGATTAGATCTTATCCTAAATATACGTGAATTAGGAGTGGATAAATTAAAATTATGGAAGAATTTACTTGATGAAATAAAAAATACTGAAGAAATTCGCAAAGAAAACTTAAATAAAGTAAAGCATGCTTTAGTTTAGAAGGATTTACTTGATGAAATAAAAAATACTGAAGATATTCCCAAGAAAACTTAAATAAAGTAAAGCTTGCTTTAGTTATACTTATTTCAAAGGTGAAGAAAAAACTAAAACAATGTGGACAAAACTATGATACATTTATACAAAAAGAAAATCATTGGCTTTAAAGAAATCTTATGAACAATAAAAATAGCCATTTTGGTTCTGGAAGGCCCCAAAAACAGTAGAGTGTTCTTGGAGAGCGAAACTAAAGAAAAAAAATAAAAGAACTAGCCACTGAACATCATGAAGCTCTATTTTTAGCTTCTGCAAAAAGTACAAATGCTGCTGAAGAAAAAAAACAACCTCTATTTTAATAAACAATATATCTAATGTTTCAGAGATGTAAAAAGTTGATGAAACTTTGAATAAAACTTTTCCCATTAACATGAGTGTAGAGGAAGCTCTTGCATTAAAAATGAATACTGATCTCAACGATAAACAATATCAAATGATCAGAAAATCAGCTCATGTACACAATGTACATATTTATCCTACCTTGCACGATATTTCCGTGGAAAAATTGAAATGCTATCCTGAGAATATAGATTTTTTTGAAATTTCTGTAAAGTGCACCCTTCAAAGCATGTTAAATCACACTGTGAGTAGAATAACTGAAATGATTGATATGCCTGATTTTGGTCAAAGTGACATAATATTTGGAGTTTTATACGAAAAAATTGGTTTGGATGGAGCATCAAGTATTTATAAACAGAAATACAATACAAGCAACGCAAGTATAGAACTTAAGCATGAAGAAAATCTTTTCAGTACAGCTTTTGTGCCTTTATTGCTCAAAGTAGAAGATAACAAAATTTGAAAAAACGAAAATCCTTAAAGCTGTGACATTTGTAGATCTCTTCATCTACAATATAAAAAAGAGAGTCCAAATTTATCCAGAGAAGGAAAATCAGATCTAAAAAATCAAATAAATACCTTAAAGACGTTTTGCAAAATTGCAGGAAGAATTTTGACATTTAATATCAGCTATAGGATTGATCTTACAATGTTTGATAATAAAGTAGTTTACGCACTTACAAAATCCACTCAATCCTGCAATGTGTGCAATGCTAAACCCAAGGAAATGAGCAATATTGATTTGTTAAAAGCAAAAACTGAGAATGACTTGGCCTTGGGCCGAATATTTTTTGTACGCGTATAGCCACCTTTAACACGCGCATATGCGCATAAGCGGGCATTTTACGTGTCAAAGCTGTTTGTAAAAAAAAAAAATTTATAACAAATTCTAAATCTTTGATGCAAAAATTATTATTTTGATATATAACATTTATTTACGATTTATGTCAAATTTATTTAATTTTTGCTGTTTTTTGATTGTCCTGAGTCACTGCGTTGGTTTCATTGTTTTGTAATAACAGTTTTTAATAAAAATGACTGTCTGGTCATTTGTAATAATAATATATAAAAAAAAAAAATCAAAACGATCAGGGTATTCAATGAAATACATTTCTATTACAAATTTATAGGGGTTATCAAAAATCTCTACATTTAAGCAGGAGATTATCTTCAAAAATTCAATTAGAAAGCGATTAACAATTTTATAAAAAAAAGTTTCCATAAATCACAGAATACAGGAAAAGAATACAGAAAAAAAAGAATACAGACTATGATTCTGAGTTAAAATTTTTAATTAAAAACATTGAAATAGATCATGTGATAAATTAAATTGATAAATGGTAACCAATCATTTACATTTTTTGGGAGTATTGTTTGTCTATATAGTTAAGTAAAGGCGTAATTAAAATATTTTGCTGCACAAATATTTTTGTTATTTAAAGATTAACAACTTTTTAAAATGAAATAGCTTTAGACATATACAAACACAAGTGAAATGATATTTGTTCAATAAACAGATTGAGGTAAACTTCTGGTTTATGGTAATTCACAAAGTTATTATTATTTTTGTCATAATAGATAAGTCACAAGAATGCAACTTAGTTATCAAAATCATCATTTGGAATCATTAAAAATTATTAAAACTATGAATATTAGAGTAAAACAATAGTTTAACAATGATACAGGGATTAAAAAATTTAAAAAAATGGGCTCATATCATAATATACAAAACATGTTATAAAATATATTGAAACAAAATAATAGCTAAAATAAATAAAAACTTACCCAATTATATATGCTGCTAGAATTGAATATAAAACCAAAAGAGTTCACTAAATAATTTTTTAGAGAAAATTTAAAATTTAGGTTTATAATATACAATGTATACTTTATACATGTATATTATAATACAAATATATATATATATATACGTGTATATATAGAGATTTTGTAGAATACAGTAACATATTTTATACTTGTATAAATATGTATAAATATTATAATATATATATATATATATATATATATATATATATATATATATATATATATATATATATATATGTATATATATAAATATATAAATATATATATATATATATATATATATATATATATATATATATATATATATATATATATATATATGTATATATATATATATATATATATATATATATATATATATATATATATATATATATATATATATATATATATATATATATATATATATATATATATATATATATATATATATTATATATATATATATATATATATATATATATATGAGTGTGAGTGTATATCTATATACATATGTATATATATATATATATATATATATATATATATATATATATATATATATATATATATATATATATATATATATATATATATATATATATATATACATGTTTATCTTTATGTCAAATAAGGATGCTTAATTTTAGCAACCTTAAATTTTAGCAACCCCAAACATGAGAGCATTTTTACCCCAAACATGAGAGCAATAAGATTATAAAATACTTTTTTACTATTCTTAAATCATTATTTATCAACAAATTTTAAATATCATACAAAAATCTCTTAATGTTCAAAAACTATGACCATGTAAAACTTGGAACCGCCTCAAATTGAGGCGGTTCCAAGTGTAAACTAATATATATATAAAAAAATTAATTTATTTTAGTATTTTTATGAATTATAGTATAATATCTATATTATAATATAATATATAACATAATATACAAAATAATATAATATAATATAATATAAATTGTATATATAATATAATATAAAATAATATAATAAAAAAATATACAAATTTACATGGTCATGCAGAGATGATCTCTGTTGGTACCCAAAAGAGATCATCTCTGCATGACCATGTAAATTTGTTACATAAAGAAGACTTTTTCAAAAATTTAATATGAAGATCTTGATGTTCTTCTGAAATACTAAGAATATTTCTTAAATACCATTAGGCATCATAAATGCAAGCCACATATTTTCCTAGAGTGGAAATTTTATAAACAAAAATTCTGCAAGTAGAAAAACCCACATTGGTGCAATTACTATCAAACGAAACTCTTCTTATTTTCATTGAGGTAAGTGACATGATTATAAAATTGTGGTGGTTTTGTGTCGCAGGTATTGTAGAAGAAAAATGGTATCTCTCTTCCAAATTGAAATTTGTAATATGTATTTCTATTCAAACTTTGTCAACAAAAATAAATAATATTCCTTTGATGTGTTGAACACACAAGCTGTACATTTTGCTTGATGTGTCAATAGGATTGTTAAGTGACTATAGATTGGCTGGTGCAACAAGACGTTTTTTCTTTCTACCAACTCCATCATAAGGACTTTTACCACGTGATGTTGCAAAAAAGTGCCACTCTGCAGTAATGTCAAAATCATGTTTATGGTAGCATAAGTTGATAATATTTTTGTAATTTTTATATTGTGATGAAGCTCCATCACTAAAATAGATAATGTGTTGAAATGTTTGTAATTGTTTAAGTTTATCAATAACAAGTTTATCAAAGCATCTGTTTCAGATGATCTGACATAGCACAATAGATTTGATTATCAAGTTTTTCATCTTTTATAAAATAAACAAAGAGTGCAAAGTTGCCTGGCTGTTATTCCAGTAAAAACCATGCACTTCATCCTGTATTAAAAAACTTTTATTTAAAGTTTTATTCAAAGCCAAAAATAATTAAAGCTTGTTTTTCTTTTAAACTTTCAAATGTCGGAAGTAGATGGCTTGACTTTTTAATATAAAATAATGCTCTCATAAATTATCTAACTTTTCATAAACCATTTCGGAAAATTTATCTAAAGGTAAAAATTGCTAGTGCTAAAGTACATTGAGAATTTGATTTTTGCCGCTGATAAAAATTAACTTCACTAATTATATTTTCATTAAACAAAGTGTCAATGTAATCTAACAAAATCTCTTTTCCAAAACATTTATCGCAGCTATGCAGCATACAATCTCTACAATTTTCTGTACAAGGACCTTTACATTTTGATGGTACTGGCAAAAACAAACTGCATGCAGACCAGAAGCACCACCCACAGGAATACACCATTTGGGCATTAGCTCATAAAATTATAAAAGTCCAGCTTTAAGATAACTATGTTTCTTTTTAAAGTCAATATGAAGTTCTTTCATACTGACTAGAAGAAGTGGTTTTTAGATGTGCTTTATATCATCTACTTTAACTGAAACAAACCCTTTCTTTCCTAGACAAACCCTTGAATATTCATTGCATTGATAGAACCGAACAACCTCTGTAATGCATCTTTAAGTTTTCTACCTGATTTTGGAGAAAGTTTTGATATTATTCCACATTTTTTTCTTAATTTTCTGGCTTGTACTACAGATCTTTTTGAAGTCAAAATACTTCTGAGTTAATTTTAAAAATACTTCTCTATTGACCAACTGTCTGTAGTGAGTGTAAGAAATGTGATTTTTTGGGATTTAGACAATGTTTTGTCAAATTTTGATTAATTTGAATCATAGCTTTGTCTAAATCTTTGTTTGTTTTTTTAAAGCACTTTTTTGAAAGTGATTCGATTTCACCTAGTGCAACTATTTCTAAACCTAGCACATTGGCAACAGCCTTTTGTGTAAGAGCTCTTATGTTATCAATTTTACGCTTTCCATATGCAACTCTATCTTTTTTTTTTTTAACAAGTTTAAGAGATGAGCATCCAAAACTTGCAATACTTAAATTAAGATCTTCTTTTTATGTAAGGTTGTCAACATAAATTTCTATTTCTTAGATTTCATTTTCTTTTGTATCCTTATGTTTGTAATGCAGGGTTTTTCTGCAACTAGTGCAAACTTTTTGACCAGATATTAAACCAAAATCTTTGGCATATGAAAGACTGATAACTCTAAGAGAATCTACAAAGTAAAGATATTATTTATTAAATATTGTTTCACATTTATTCTTATATATATTTATATATTTATTATTGTTTCATACTTATTGATTTGTATTTTTGAACTAGTTTTTAAGATTAAGCTCTTTTTAATCTTAAAACAAAAAATATCAACTACAACCCACCATTATGAAAACTACAACTATATCAACTACAACCCACCATTATGAAAACTACAACTATATCAACTACAACCCACCATTATGAAAACTACAACTATATCAACTACAACCCACCATTATGAAAACTACAACTATATCAACTACAACCCACCATTATGAAAACTACAACTATATCAACTACAACCCACCATTATGAAAACTACAACTATATCAACTACAACCCACCATTATGAAAACTACAACTATATCAACTACAACCCACCATTATGAAAACTACAACTATATCAACTACAACCCACCATTATGAAAACTACAACTATATCAACTACAACCCACCATTATGAAAACTACAACTATATCAACTACAACCCACCATTATGAAAACTACAACTATATCAACTACAACCCACCATTATGAAAACTACAACTATATCAACTACAACCCACCATTATGAAAACTACAACTATATCAACTACAACCCACCATTATGAAAACTACAACTATATCAACTACAACCCACCATTATGAAAACTACAATTATATCAAATACAACCCACCATTATGAAAAATATCAACTACAACCCACCATTATGAAAAATATCAACTACAACCCACCATTATGAAAAAGTTAAGATGCCAGAATTTTAATTTTCTGTTCTTTTAAAAGTATTCATAGCATACTTGGTATCTTACAATAATTGAAGCTGTTAATAAATCAACTTGTTCAAAAGTTATTAGCTGTTAAAAATGATGAAAAAAACGTTTTTCTTGTAAAGTGAAATTTCATGCAAAATAGCCAACTACTTAAATAACATTTTCTCAAGCACCATATTAGATATTGATCTAAAATTTTTAAAACAGGTTTTTCTCATTTATATGTACAAAATCAAAAAGTTTTAATAAAATCTAAGATGATCCATAAGGAAGCTCATAAAAATTTACTCCATTTGGCATGGAATGACCCAGCAAGCAAAATTTTTTTTTATCAATTTATCAAAATTTACTTTCCATTCAATTCACTTTTATTTATAAAAAGACTTTAATTAAAAAAAACAAAACACTATTGTAAACTAACAGAGAACTAAAGTAAACAAGGAAATTAACACAAACACATTAAGAAAAATCAAGCTTCAAAATAAAATTTCCGAATTATAATCTATAATCCGAGTAATAACAATAGATAATAAATTATAAATGTTATTAACTATAATAAAAAATTATAACAACAATAGAAATAATAAACATTATTAATAATAAACATAATAACTCACTGTAATAAGGTGTTTCTTTGTAACTCCCAATTTGTGTTTTCACATTACAACCAAATACTCGTGAACCTTTAGAAATTGTTAATGGTAAAGTTATTGATGGTAGTTGCAGAATTTTTTCTTTTGTTTCAGATAACCTTATTGGAATCGGATTCAAATAATTATAGACCACAATATTTTCAAATTTATCTTCAAAATAAATATTTTGTGTCACGTTATCATAGCATATTGGTTCAAGAAAAACAACAGAAAACCCTAAAAAATTATGTTTAAAAACAACATTTATAGATAAATACAGCATTCATAAGTAAAAACAACATTTGTAAATAAAAACAACATTTGTAAATAAAAACAACATTATTATTTCACTCATTTATTCTTTTAAAACTATTCATTAAAAAAAAAACATTAAAAAGTTTTCAAAGTTATTAAAATTTTAAAATTACTTCTCACCTCCTCAAGGCCATGAAGGCCGCTACAGTCAAGGAGACTACTTTTAGTTGTGATTACAACCCTTAACTCTATAACTCTGAAACATGAACCTTGACAAACAAGGCCGCTGCGCAGAGAAACAAGTTTAGCGCGGTACTACCAGAGACGAGGTGGGGATTTAACATGGAACTTCTTGCTTAAGAAGCAAGCGCTTTACCACTACACAACTACCGCATCTTAATAGGAAAAGATGAGTTAAAGACACATGTTAAAGATAAATGAACATAATAATTGATTAAATGCCATTCCAAGTTAAAGAAATTTGAAAGCATAACTTTTTGGTATTATACTTGGTAAAGGTAATGAGACTAGACCAATGTATGTTAGACTTGCTTTGATTTAATTGAAGTTTTTAAAAAAATTTAAATTAATTTAATTTTATATCATTAAATAATTATTTAATTTAATATTGTCCTGCTGCCTTGTAGAATACTCCTTTAAGCAAAGGCAAAGGCTAGGAGATGCCAACTCCGACATAAAAAACCCTCTGGCTTGGGGCTCTTGGTTGAGTAAAGGCTAGAGATGATGTCTCGATAAAAATACTCATTTTGGGCAAATGTTAAATGTATTCGGCTGCTGACTTGTAGAAGGCATCCTAGGCAAAGACTTAAGGGGTAAACAAATTCTATCTGTTGACCAGACTCGTACCCCTTCTTCATCTATTAGGCTGGTGCAAATGTATTTTTGATACATTGTTTCCGTTTTAGGATGTTGAATGCTGGATCTTATTGACTTGATGCACAGGCTTTCACAGGAAAATGTGCGATTTCACGTATTTATATAACCACGCAAGTTACATTTTGCTATGACAGTTTGACCGCGGCTAATTCAAAAAACATTTTAGAAACGCGCTAACAGGGTTGCCACTATAATTTTAAAAGTTTTTCCCTGAGTAAAGTACATTTTCCCCTGAGTTTTCCAGATTAAATATATATATATATATATATATATATATATATATATATATATATATATATATATATATATATATATATATATATATATATATATATATATATATATATATATATATATATATATATATATAATTTAAATAGATTCTAAACACTAAAAGTCATAAAATAATGGAATTTTTTCAAATTTATTCTAAAATTAAACACAAAAAATAGTTTTTTATTTACAAACTTTATCAATAAGTTTTTTCTTTGCTTTTAACAGTTCTAAAACTGAATCTAACTCTTTTGATTCTTTTTCTGTTTCGTTTCATTTTCTTTTTAAAGCAGTTGCTTTTTTAAGCATTGTTAAATCATTATTTTTGTTAGCATTTTCAACAGATTGAATAAAATCTTTGTTTAATGTACAACATGCTGTTACAAGTAAATTTTTTTTCTACTTCTTTAATTTCTTCTAATATGATTACTCTTTGGTGGTTTGATTCACACTCTTTCTTTAAATTAGCCTGCTCTGCTAAACTGATTTGGTACTGTTGTCTGACTGACTTTACTGATAATATTAATGCATTTGTGATATTATAATTAGTGTCATTTTGATCACATGATCAAAATGACACTATTAATTCATATGATCTTTTATAATGCGATGAGAGACTATTAAGTTAGACTGAATATTTTCATTTAAAATTGTTTTGTTTATGCTGAAACCTCTTTCTACAAAAACTTGACCATGACTAACGGTTAAAATCACTTTGATAAGAGAGTTTTTTATGTTCGGCTATATCTAGTTGATGAAAATAGAAGATATCTAAACAAGTGTTTTTTTTATCAAAGCTAAGACATTTTTTTATATTTATTTTTATATCATTTCTTAAAAATGTTGAATACTAAAGCATAACATTTTCACTTTATGTTGCAGATATAATTTTTAAACTGACAAGATAATGTAAAAATCTTTTTAGTTTATTTTGATTACATTCAATTGTTAATGTTTTGAGATTGATTGGTTCGAAACAACTTGCATTTGCTATGATTGCAGAGTCTAGTGGGATGCGTTTAAGTAAACTTGCCATGGTTTTTGTGAGAATTAAAACACATTCATTTCTAAACTGATTTATTTCATTAGGAGTTATAGTATCTTTAACAAAGAGTTCTTTAATTGAAACTTCAGCCGCAAAACCAATAATAACATCTTTCCTTGGTAGCAAATTTTCTTTTTTATAGAAATCTATCTTTTTTAAGTCACTACCTTTTTTGCAGCTTTGAATTACTGAAGGTTTAATATATAGAGCTAAAATATTTGTTATTAATTCTCTAAGATCAGTGTACATGTATGGAATCATTGGTTGATCAGTCTGATAGAGTATCAAATAGGTTTTAAACAAGCTGGCAAATAGGCTTTAAACAAGTTTTAAACATAACTAAAAAATTGTAACTTTGAAACTGTCAGGAAGTCATTTGATGCTTTTTGAACATTGAAAAAACTTTTTGAGGAAGGCTGTTTAAACTTTGATAATTTTTCCCAAAATCTAATTAATTTTACAATGTTGTCCCATTTTTCGATTAAGTGATCAGCAGCAATTTGGTCTTCAATCCATCTTGTTAAACAGAAAATTAATGGATACAGATTTGAGCCAGTAACAGTTATAGTCATCCCTCCTAGCCGGAGTATCATGGAGTATTTGGTATGTTCTCTTAAGAATACTTTTTAGATTCCATGAAGTAGACTCAGAACCTAATTTAAAAGCTCCATGTACTACATGCAAACTACAACACCCAATGTCAAGTAAAGAATTTAATTCGCACTCATTTCGTATATAGAAAGTTCTTTAAAAAATTTCCAACTTGTATTAGGCCCATCCATAGATACTTGGATTATTTTTGAAAAATCTAGACTTTTTATTTCTTTATTGAAATTTTTTAGAATATGCGCAGCAGAAGAATGGCCAAGAAAAACTGAATTCAAATATCGCAAATTAACCTGATTTTCTAAAGTATTCCAAAATCTAACAACAATATCCATTTGACAATTTTGTGTAACTTTATTTAGACTTTCATCAAATGAGACAACATAACATGGCGAATTTTTGATACTTTCAAAAAGCAATGATTTAAAATATAGTGCTAATCCATAGTTAATCATATATCCTATTTTTGTTCTTCCTGATGTTAATCCTTTTGCCACTTTGCTATCTGGAAAAATACTAGTAAATAATTTACTCAAATTAGCAGATGCATTGTTTGACAATCCATTCATAACAGTTGCAAGAAGCCATCTTATTTCAGATCTTGTTTCTTCATTGGAAGTAACAACAAGTTCTAATGTTTTTTGACCAATTGCCAGGGGGGTGTTGGTGTAATAGTAGAGCGTTTTGCAACAGGTTTGAAAAAGTGACTTTTGGATTTAGCTAAAACATTAAGTTGGTGCTTTTTACCTTCATTATGACTCTTAACTGCCTGAACTCCCATGTTTGACAAATTAAAAGTTTTACAACAGCTGCTACATCTAGCAACTTTATTGTAATCAGTCTTAACAAGCCATTCTTTATACTCTGGGTGATTAAGCCAATCATTTAAAAAAATTGTTTGATCTATTTTAATTATTAATAACTCTAAAAAAATATATTCTTCTTACAACCATATTACATATATTTATAGATTTAATGATAAAAGGTTATAAATTAATATATAAAACATATTTATATAACTTATTAAATCAAACTTTACTCAGTATTTTAGTATTTCCCAATTAAGCTCATAATGAAAATTCTAAAATATAAATTCAAATTTAATATTGAAAATAAGCAAACCATACAAAATTAACATCAAATGCAAAATCTCATAAAAAATTATGATAATATATATTACAAATTTATCATAACTTAAATTATTGTTAATAATTTAATAAAAAATTCAACTTAAAGATTCAATTTTGAATTATTTTTTCAAAATTGAAAAAATTTTTTTTCTGAGTTTTCCCTGAATCTTAAATAAATAAAAAAAAAATCCCTAAGTTTTCCAGGTTTTCCTTGGGATTCATACTATTTCCAGGTTTTCCAGGTTAAGTGGCAACCCTGGCTAAATAAAATATATTCTAAAAAAGTGAAATTAATTACATCAAAACTTCTTAACAAATGTTTTTATATTAGCGAAACGATTTTAAATAAAGTAACAATTTACTGAAAAAAAGTTTTGTTCTTTAAATATAATTGACAGTTGTATATATTTTTTTAATTTAAAACATATAAATTGTTTAAGTGTTCATTTCTAAAATAAATCTTATTAAAAAATAAAAAATTGTTTAGTTTTTATAAACGATGATATTGTACGACTACGAAAGTCTCTTTAACGAATTTAAATATAAGAATGATTAAAGTTAATGCATTTAAAAAGATAAACAATATTTCGTTAAAAAAAAAAGTTTTAGAAAACTAAAATTAAAACCGTATTTTTTATGAGAAATATTTAACTTTTGAACATATAAAACAAATATAAAATATATAAAAATGTTGAAACTAAGATTGAAAAGGTTTTTTAATGTGTAAATTAAATAGACTAAGCATTTTAGTTTGATGAGTTTTGTTTTAGTTGCATTATATATATATATATTTATTTTTTTGTGTTTTTGTTTTAACTATGTATTTTTTTTATTTTCTCTTTTGTTAATATTTATTTTTTTTTTAAATTTTTTTTCAGATAAGTTTAGGTAAGTTTTTGTAGCGCATTTTTAAATTTTAAAAATATGCTGTGGTTAAATCGTTAAAACATTTTTTTTGCGTGGTCATATAAAGACATGAAATCGCACGTCTTCCTGTGAAAACCTGATGCATGGGTTTTGCTTGTGTCTCTGTTTTTATGACTAGGCAACTTATTCTATTATCTACTAATGAGGGTACAGCTCTAAAACTCAGTTTTATGGTTCTGAGGCTGACTGGTAGTCAGGTTTCCCGAACTCTGTGGTAGCTCTCAGAGTAGTTGATTCCATCAACAGATAAAAAATATCAAAGTTTTAACAGTGCCATGTTGCGCATGAATGGTGTCCCTGTTTATACTTTTGGTGTGCATTGCTCGTTTATACTTTTGGTGTGCAACACTCGCTTCATAAGCGAGAGGTTCCGAGTTTGATCCCCACCACGTCCCTGGTAGTACCGCGCTCAACTTGTTTCTCTGTGCAGCGGCCTTGTTCCTCAAGGTTTGTGTTTCGGAGTTATAGAGTTGAGAGAGGGTTTTAACCACTATAAAGTAGCCTCCTTGTCTGTAGTGGCCTTCTCGGCCTTGAGGAGGTAAATAACAAAAAAAAAAAAAAATTCATAAAGACTCCAATAGTCAGATGCTTGGCCTGGGCATTTACATTCGTATAAATCCACCCATTTGTCAGCAAACTAGGTTTGAATCCAAAAACTACTCTTTTATGTGCTTTCGTTTAGCACCACTTCACTCTACCACCTTTCTCTTTGTTCTATATCACTCTCCTTCATCTCAAGACTGCATTCTTCTTGATGTTATTTCTGATCATATTGACCAAGCCCTTTCTCTTTATCTATAAGCCAATATTATTGTTGTCAACAACTTTAATGCTCATCACACTGAAAGGCTTGGCTCTAGTGTCAGTGACTCTGCAGGCATTAAAGCCCTTAACTTTTGCCTTTCTCAACCCCTAACTCAAATAGTCAACTTTTCAACTTGCTTTCAAGCCCACTATTCTCAGGTCATGAAATCTTTTATTTCATCACAAAAATTAGGCTCTCATGACTTCTGGAGAATCTTTAATAGTATTAATAATAAAAGCAAATCTGTAATTCCACCTCTCTTATATTGTTTAGACTTTGTTACAGCTGAATTGTTTACTAAAAACTTTTCATCAAATCATCTCTTGATTCCACTATTTGTGTTCTACCTGATATAGCCGTCAAACAGATTGATCCATTGCTTGACATTCGTATCACTCCAGCTTCTGTATCTTAAGTGATTTCCTGTTTAGACTCTTCTACAGCTTGTGGATCGGACAACATAAATGTTATAGTCTTGCAGAAGTGTTCTCCTGAGCTGTCGTCTATCCTTTCGAAATTATTCAAGTGCTTATCAGAGTCTTGTTTTCCAGCCTGCTGGAAAGCCGCTTCTGTTATCCCCATCTTTAAAAAATTGATTCGTCTAACTACCGCCCCATTAGTCTTCTTCCTGTCATAAGCAAGGTTTTTGAATCTTTAATTAACAAACACTTAATCTCTCATTATAATTTAATAATTTACTTTCTGATCATCAATATGGATTTCGATCTTCTCCTTCTACGGCTGATTTACTATCAGTAATAACCGATAGGTTTTATCGCACATTAGATAAAGGTGGAGAGGTTAAGGCCATTGCTCTTGACATTTCTAAAGCGTTTGATAAAGTTTGGCATGCCAGTCTTCTCCATAAGCTTTTTTTCATATGGTGTATCTGGAAATATCGTTAAGATTATTGAATCCTTCCTTTCCAATTGTAGTATCAAAGTTGTCCTCGATAGACAGCACTCTTCTTCTTATTCTGTAACCACAGGGGTTACTCAAGGTTCAATCCTTGGCCCTATACTCTTTTTAATTTACATTGAATATCTTCCAGATATTCTCACATCTAAGGTGGCATTGTTCGCTGATGATACTACCATTTATTCTTGTCATGATAAGAAGCCAACTCTCTCTGATTGCTTGGAGGGGGCATTTCAGCTTGAAAAGGATCTCACTTCTATTACAGCATGGGGCTCACAGTGGCTGGTGAACCTTAATTCAGATAAAACACAATTTTTTTCAGCTAATTGTTATCGCAATAACTTAGACCTTCCTATATTTATGAATGGTAATGTACTCGATGAATCATCTACTCTTCATCTTCTAGGATAAACTCTTACTTCCAATCTTACTTGGAAACCATATATCAAATCCGTTGCAAAACTAACATCTGCTAAAGTTGCATCTCTTTATTGAGCACTTTCTTACTCCAGATTCTATTCTCTATCTCTATAAATCTCAAATCC